ATGAAAATTAGAAAAAAGATATATGATAATATTCAATTATTGTGCATGTGCATATTTTTGAGTGTAATTACGAGCATTGCTTTTGGCTTGTTCAGGATTAGATAACCATAAATTATTGACTTCCAAATTTAATGGATCTTCTAAGTTTGGACTAGCAAGTAATTGTTGGATTGTTTGTAAAACAGAGGAGATTTGCATTGCACATACCCATCCTTGAGGCTTTAATGTATCCAAACAAATCTTTCCAAAAAATGAAATGTTAGGGTGATAAACTTTAGTGGCAAATTTGATTATTGGTGGACTATAAGGATAATTCTCTGGAAGAAAAACATCTAATGCAAATTTACCTCCTTCATATGGAGTATCTGGTGGTCCATCAATAATTGCTTTCCAATAATCTATGTTATTTTCATCGATAGTTACTTTAATTCCAGTTGGTGGGTTTTTCAATATGTTTTTTGTTTCTTGGGCAATTCTTCTTTGTCTCATTTGGTTTGATGACATTTTTCTTTTCTATAATTTTACAGTTCTAGTTATTCGTCATTTATTCATTTCTATCTAATTATTATTTTTTATTATATTTTTTCTATCTTTTTTTCTTTATTATTTATAATTTTACCTCACCAATCCTCATCTCTTAATTGAATTTTACACTAACCTATATCATTCAACCTACCACTACTGTGTTTTATATGTTTTAAACTACATCTAATAAAAAATATTACTATATTTTGTTAAATTTAACAATATCCATTTTAGAAAAAACTCTATGTGATGTTTTGTTTGATAACACTATTATTATTTCAAGAGCTTTAAAGTTTATAGACTCAATGAACATATGATTTTGTTTATTATGAAATTATGAAAGATTTCTAATATTACCATAGCTCTTAATTATTATTTTTAAGGTATTTATTATTTATAAGTAATTTCAGAATAAAAGAGTTAATACGAATAAGATTTATCATTAATCTTTAGTCTTGTATTAGAACTATCTGATAAAATAGTCTTTTAATGATAATAAATGAAATTAATAAACAAAGTGTTATTTACAATACAATCATGTATTTATTAATTTATAAATAATCATTTTTATTTGTTGATTAATGTATGACGTTTTTATTCTTAAATCTTTATTAAATATCAGTAATAAAATCTCATAATTTTCATTGACTATTCTTATTCTGTTAATATGTAACTAAAGGATAATCAATGAATAGACTCTGTTTCAATACTTAGACATAACTCCTATTGATAAAGTGTAACATAATATAAGTATTAGTTTCTAAAAGTAAATTGAAAAATAAATAATCTATTGTCTAAACAATATTAATCTAAATTTAATAACATCAAAATAAAGTGAATCATACCATAATAATAAATCTTTTCATAATTGTTGTATAATATAATTATTTACAACAACAATCAAAATAATAAAATGAATGAATAAAAAATAATACAATTATGCTTTATATAAAGAGTTTAAATGTGAAAATTATATTGTGATTGTTTGGTTCTGTCTTTTCATTTCATTTATTTCTTGTATCATTCACCCTCTTTTAAACTCTTCTCAGGAAGAAGTACGTTTAATGTTATATCAGATAGATATAATAGATTCAACAATTGATGTCATCACAAACATTACAATAAAAGTTCTTGAAATGACTGTTATCATATCCGAACTTATTCTTGAAACACCATCAATCTTTTCAGCCAAAATATATCTCATATATTTTTGGTCTTTATGTAAAGGATTAATTGTAATATTCACTATTGTTTTATGTCTCCCATCATTACAAACATGTGTTCTTTTAACCTCAGTTGAAAGAATATCCCATTTCTATTTATCAACTATGATATTATTATTATCCCTTGATATTGGTGGAATGATTTATTTAAAACTCTCGATATCTGTTATTGCACTGATAGATCTCTGGGAATGTATGCAAATAACAACATCCCCTCCACATTTTATTGACTTATTTGAAGAGTTATCATTCAATGAGAATGAAATCAATTATCATTTTAATTTTCCACTAATTAAATATAATTCAACTACAAAATATCATTACAATGAATGTCCAATTTGTATGGAACCTTTTCATGAAAACGAATCAATGAAACTTCTTCCCTGTAAACATTATTTTCACAGTAGTTGTATTGATGAGTGGATTCGTTGCCATTCATTTTGTCCTCTCTGTAAAGTTCCTTTTCATCTCAACACTTTTGGAAAAAATAAGCAAATCTAATTCTTCTTAACTTTTTTTCTGTAATTTCTTTCTTAAAAAAGGGGTTCAGTTGGTTTGAAAAACTAGTTCTGTATAACTATTACCTTAGTTTTGGATTGAACAAGAATTATTTGTTCTTCGGATTGAAAAAAAAAGATAAAATTAAAATTAAAAAGATTAAAAATAAATCAAAACAAATAATAAGAATATTTATAAAAATAGAAAATAGCTAGATGGTTTTTACATCCCAAACTAAATTAAAATTAAAAATAGGTTCATGATTTGAATTTTTGTGGTGATAGACTAGAGAGAAAAACATGAAAAAATCGGGAAGAAGAAGTTAAAGAAAAGGAAATAATGGGAAAAGAAAGAATTATCTTTTCTCATATTATATGTCTCTGACCAAGACAGACCTAGTGGTTATTTGACTCTTATTTATTTGGCTCTTTTTTAGATGTAGTTATAGTCAGCCCATTTCTATTTCTATATGTGGAGATGGTATAGTTGATATTTTTGATGAGGAATGTGATTCCACAGAACATTGTACAAATTGTTATTGTGACAAAGGGTATAAGAGTGTTAATAATATATGTGTTCCAAAATGTGATATTGAAGGGTGCATTAATGGTTGCATTAGTCCAAATGAATGTAGTACTTGCAAACAACCAGCATATCAATGGGATTGTCATAGTTGTGGAGATGGATATTATATGGAAGGATTTATGAAATGTATTTTATTAAATCCAAGTGAGTTATATAGTTGTGATAAAATGCTTAAAGATAATTCGTTAATGACTGTAAAAGAAATTCAATTAAGTTCATTACTATTAAATAATGCATATGAATATACACTTTATTTAAAAGATTTTAAATTAACTATAGATCATTGTTATTTAACATTTGATCCAAGCTCACCTTATGTAAAAGGAATTTGGATTGAATTAGATGTTATTAATGAAGGTTATTATGTAATTGAAACTGAAAGAGAATATACAATATCAACTATTGAATATCTTACAGTTCAACAAAATAACTATGGGTTTGATTCAATTATTACAGTAGAAAAAGAATGTTTCACATTTAATTCAACTGGAGTTGCTTCTTGTGAAGGTAATAATAATGATATAAATGATTATATTTTATCTGCTTCTTTAATGAAATATTTTACAATAGGAAAATATTATCTTCATGTCTTTGGACATTATGGAATAGTACCAACAGAAGATTTAAAATTATATGTTAGGAAAGTTAATCATCCCTGTTCAGCAAGGTTTACACAGTTATTATGGAATGACCTTATATCCTCTAGTTATACAACGATGGTTTCTACTGTTGATTCTATCTACAGCACATCACCTTGTTCTACACAATTAGAAAAAGGGAAATGGTTTTTTATAAAAGGGTCAGATAAAACAATTAAGATTTCAACATGTAATAATTCTCAAGATCTTGATAGTTTTATTCATCTTGTTCAAGTTTCAAAAACAAATGATGATTTTACTAATGTTAGGTGTGATGAAAAAGGAAGTATTTGTCTAGAATATAGTGACCGTGGGTGTGGAATTAATTCTCGACTTATTCATCAATTAAGTTCTGAGTATGATTATTTTATCTTCGTTTCTTCTACAAAGCGAAGTTTATTTGAAGTAGAATTTTCTACAACATGTCCATATGATTGTTTAAATGGAGTATGTTCTGTATCTAAAGGAGGTTGTATTTGTAATGAAGGATATACTGAAAAGGATGGAATTTGTACAAAATGTGGAAATGGAATTGTTGATGTTGATGAAGAATGTGATCCTTCAAATAATATTACTAAGGAATATTATTGTTCTGAAGAAACTTGTATGTGTAATTTTGGATACATTCCAGTAACGATTAATGGAATAACTAAATGTGCAATTTCAACCTGTGGAAATAATCAAATAGATGAATATGAAGAATGTGATGGTGGAAATGGATGTGATCATTGTCATTGTATTAATGGATATACTCCTTATGCTCAAGCAAGATTAAATTGTCTTTTACCTTCATGTGGAAATGGAAGAATTGATTCAGGAGAAGAATGTGATGGAGGAGATGGTTGTATTGAATGTGAATGTCAACCAGGATGGTATTCTAATGGACATACAGAATGTAAAAAATATTCAGAAGGAGGGTTGTTGTTAATAATTTGTATTCCAGGTATAATAGTATATGAAATAGTGTTAGTAATTATATTAATTATCTTCCTTATTCAGTATCATCTATTAAATGATAAAATTATATTTGAACAAAAAGAATCATCACATTTATTTTATGATTTAATAATACCATATGATAAAACATATTGTTATCCAATAACCCTTAGAAATGAATATTTTAATATTCAACCACAACACATTGATTTTATTAGTGAAGATATTTGTCCAGAAGTAGATCAAATTGCTAAACGAGAATGCATTGTTACTAACTTTTCAAATGAAACAATGAATTTTATTTTTCATGGAATTAAAAATTCAAAACATGAAATCATATTTATTCCTTGTAGAGGTATTGTAAAACCAAATGATTCAGTTACAATTCAAATTCAAATTTGTGTTCATTGTACAACTAAAATTCATGAAAGTATAATGGTCACTGTAGGATTTTCACATTTTAAAAAAGTTATTAAAGAATATCTTTCTCATCAACATATCAGTACTAGTAAATCCGATAAATCAAATAAGTCACAACGTTCTGGACGTTCTTCACTATCTAGTTTATCTAACCAAAATTCTACTTCTTCAGAAGAAATGATAGTTAGTCCTAATAAAGCAAAACAATTTTCAGTTGAATTATCATTAGATGCTCGAAGTAAATTATCAACAAAGCTAGATGAAGATGAAATTCATACCTTTCAACCACCTATAGGTGAAGGAACATTTGGTGTCGTTTTTAAAGGAGAATGGAGAAAAATAGATGTAGCTGTAAAGTGTGTTAAAACTGATGTTGCTTCTATAGATGAATTATTACCTTCTTTTCTTGAAGAAGTAAAATTATTAGAACAGTTACGTTCGCCCTGCATTATTTCATTTATAGGATACTGTATTACAAATGAATCCATTTGTTTAGTTATGGAGTATTGTCCATTAGGTTCATTAAAGAAATACCTTCAATCGAACCCATCAACTAATTTTCTTAAATTACGTTTTTGTCAAGATATTGCTCGTGGAATGTTATATCTTCATGAAAATGATATTATTCATAGAGATTTAAAACCAGACAATGTGTTAGTAATAAGTAGTAATCCTATTGATGAGGTTGTATGTAAAGTAACAGATTTCGGAACATCAAAAATTCTTATTGACAAATCTGGATTAGGTAAAGATATTAAAGATATTGGTACACCAATGTACATGGCTCCAGAGATTCATACATTAGGTGTATTAAATAAGAAAGTTGATGTATTTTCTTATGCTATTTGTTTATTAGAAATTTGGTTAGGAAGAAGTCCTTATAGTCCAATTAAATTTCCTGATGCAGAAAGTATTATGTCATTTGTTTCATCCGGACAACGACTAGAAATTCCACGAAATTGTCCGTATAAGAAAATTATTAAAAGTTGTTGGCGTAGTCGTTCTTCAAAACGTCCATCATTTAATGAAATTGAAAAAGAACTCACAGTAATTCTTTATAATGAAAAAGATAAAAAAACATCTAGCATTCAACAAACAACTGAAAATACTCTTTTTCAAGACCCCAACACTTTTAGAACAATGGCACAAATACAGGGTATAGAAAGTGAAGTAATAGAAGATTTACGTTCAAAAACAATTATGTAAATTAAATATTCTTTTAATTTTTTGTTTTATATAACATATTTATAGGGTTTATTAAAATGAAATTTGAAAAAGGAAAAAACCTACTATTAACTTCATTATACTCTCAAGAACATGTCAACCAACAATAATAACCCAATGAATCCTAATCGTGTGACACCTAAAGGAATTAATAATCCAAGGTCTAAAGCTAAAATTAATAGATTAAAAATGTATCGAACAAAAGCTAGACGTGATGAAAACGGAAAGGTGTTATGGCAAGAATACCAATCAAATGAAAAACCTGAGGCACGTATTCAACCAGACAGAAGATGGTTTGGTAATGTTCATAGTATTGGACAAAAAGAATTAGATAATTTTAGAGAAAAATTAACAGAAACTGTTCATGATCCATCACAAGTTTTATTAAAAGCACAAAAAGTACCATGGAATTTATTAGAAATTAAGGATAAAGAATTTAAAGGAAATGTATTAGAAGCAGAACCATTTCAAAGTGTTTTTGGTAAAAATTCACAACGAAAGAAACCTAAATTACCTGCTTTAGAAGAAAAAGAATTTCTTGAAAAAGCAAAACAACGACAAGAATCATATGATATTGAAAAAGATCGTAATATTAAAGGAGAGGCTGATTTTATTACAAAAATGACAAGAGAAAAATTATACGAAAAAGGACAATCAAAAAGAATTTGGGGAGAGTTATGGAAAGTAGTTGATTCATCTGATGTTGTTATTGAAGTTCTTGATGCTCGTGATCCAATGGGAACACGTTCTAAACATGTTGAAGAACATATTAAAAAACATATGAAACATAAACATATTGTATTAGTTTTAAATAAATGTGATTTAGTACCAACATGGGCTACTGCTAGATGGGTTAAGGTTCTTTCAAAAGAATTTCCTACAATTGCTTTTCATGCTTCAATGGAAAATCCATTTGGAAGAGGAAGTTTAATGAGTCTATTAAGACAATATGCTAATTTGATGGTTGAAGGAGATAGACAAATTTCTGTTGGATTTATTGGATATCCAAACAGTGGAAAATCTTCTGTAATTAATACATTAAGATCACAAAAAGTTTGTAAAGTTGCTCCTGTTGCTGGTGAAACTAAGGTATGGCAATATATTACTTTACTTAAAAATATTTATTTAATTGATTGTCCTGGTGTTGTTTATCCATCAGGAGATACAGAAAGTGAAGTAATTTTAAAAGGAGTTGTTAGAATTGAAAATGTTTCAGATCCAGAACATCATATTCAACCAATTCTTGATCGTGTTAAACCTGATTATATTAGAAAAATGTATGACGTAAAACAATGGGAAGATGCAGAAGATTTTCTAAGTCAATTAGCTAAAAAGAGAGGAAAATTATTAAGAGGAGGTGAACCTGATTGTCATATTGTTGCAAAAATGGTATTATATGATTTTCAAAGAGGAAGACTACCATATTTTGTTACTCCACCACTACCAGAAAAGAATGATACAATAGATACTGATTATAATGAAGTATTAAAATTAGAAAAACAACAATTTAATCAATTAAAAACAGAAATGGAATTTAATGAAGAAGACATGGGAATTAAAGATGAAATTAAAGAGGAAGAAAATGACATTGAACAAAGTGTTCATGAAGATCAAAAAAGTATAGAAGAAATAAAAGTTGATGGACAAATTATTGATTCTAAAGAAGTTAATGGTATAGAAGAAAATGAAGACGATGTTTATATTAGTGATGATGAGGCAGTAATGGAAAACGAAGAAATGTTATTACAAAAAAGAAAAGAACGATTTGAAGCAATGAAAGGATTATCAAAGAAATCAAGACAAAAAAGAAAACAAGAATTAAAACAAGAAAGAAAAAAAGGAGCTAATTCAAAAAAACCAAAAAAAGAAAAACCAGTTCGAGTAACTCGTTCAAGAAAACATCAAGGAGTTCCTAAAGCTATATTTTGATTGAAAATGATTGAAATTTAATAAAATGTTTTTTTTTTTAAAATAAAGAGAAAAAATGAAAACATAAAATAATAGAAAAAAGAATTGTTAATTAAACTAAAATTTATGACCACAAGAACCACAAAATTTAGAACTTGCAGGACATAATTCACCACAATTATCACAGAATTTTTGACCTTCTAATTTCACTGTTTTTTGAGGAGTAACAGGTTGAGATGAAGGTTGACTTGTTGGTTTAGAATTAGATTGAGTTGATGACTTTTCATCATCAATATCAACAACTAAATTTTCTTTACTTACAGCTAAATGACTGTTATTAATTAATTGTTCATATACTTCATCTTTTTGTGCTACTGAAGAACGAGCTACAACTTCATCAATACAAACAGTAAAAGTAACTATAAAAGCAGGAATAGCACATACTTTTTTAAGAAGATATTTACCATATTTAACAACATAATCTCTTCCTTCTCTTCCTAAAACTACACGACAAAGAATTACTCTATAAGGATGGTAACCATCTTTTATAGCAATATGAACGTCTTTAGTAAAGAATGCATTAAACTCAGAAAGAGTATTTTCACATCCTTGATTTATTATTTTATCAAAATTTTCTACTGGTGGACAAATCCATAAATTTACACTTTGAAGATTTTTTGCTCCAATTGCTTTCTCCATTTCTGCTCTAGTATTTTCAAAATTCATTAAAATACTACCAGATGGCATAACTTGTTCAATAGCATCAATTTCATATTTATCTACTCCACTATTACTTTCTTTCCACTGTTTCATAACAATCTTTTTTGACCCTTCAGTTGCTTGTTTAACAATAGTAGGACGCTTAGACATAATTAGTAGACCAAATAGAATTACTCAGTTCTAACTTGACATGATCTTGAAATTAAGCGATGAACAAACTAAAAATTACTTCTTTTCTTAAAATGTCTTACAATAGTTCAAAACGTTGCAAAAACTGTGGTTCAATAAATCATTGGACTTATCAATGTACTGTTGAAATGGAAGAGAAATCAAGACCAACTGCTTCCGAAAGGTTACGTGGAATTGTTCCAAAAAAAATAATTATTGAACCAATTACAAATAAAGAACTTTACCCAAAATTATGGGAAAAAGCACTAAACCAAGCAAGGGAAGAAATTATGATAATAGTAGAAGAACAAAAGGAAAAAAGAAGATTATTTGAAGAAGAGATTGAAAGGAAAAGACAAAAAGATAAATTAAAACAAATTGAAAAGAAAACAATTAAAGACGAAAACCAGGACGGTAGATTAGAAGAATGTCAATTGACTGAATGTAATAATAATAATATAAATGACACAGAAAAACTTTATAGAAGAAAAATTCAAGAATATTCTAAAAGTGAATCATATTCTCCTAGTAGATCAAGAAGTTATTCTAGGTCTTATAGTCATTCTAGAAGTAGATCAACTAGTCGTTCTAGAAAAAGATCTTATTATTCTTCTGAGAGAAGAAGATCTTATTCAAGAAGAAGGTCTTACTCAAGATCACATTCAAGGAGACGGTCTTATTCAAGAAGAAGTAATAGACATTATAAGTATAATAGAAGGTCTTGTTCATCAAGAAGGTCATATAGTTCATCATCAAGGTCAAGGTCTAGAAGACGTTATTAAAAATTGATTGGTTTGTAAGTAAAATATTAACTTTAATTCTTTGATAATAAGTAAAATCGTCACTAAAACTAAAAAAATTTAAAGGGTAAAACTTAAAATTAATTTAAAAAAGAACTTAAAATTAATAGTTTGAATGAACCAATTAGATAAAGAAACATTAGAGAGAATTCAAGAAACTATAGGAGATGGAATGAGTTCAGTAATGAGAGAATATGCTATATGGCTAAGAATGAATGAAGTTTGATAGATATATTTTAAATAAAATATAAAGAATAATAAAAGAGATAATAAAATGTAGTTAAACACAGAGTCAGATAAGTTAAAAAAACAAATCCAAACAAACCACTTTACAACTGTTTGTAGATTAATAATAATACTATTATTTTTTAATAAATTTTATCAAATATTAAACTTAAAAAATAAATAACTTAAATTAAATTAGATGCTTAAAGCTGAATTAATAGAACGTTATAGAGCAAGTAATACTATTAGAGTAAAATGTTTGTATCAAAAATTAATTAAAAAGAATTAATTAAAAATAAAAAATAATTAAAATAGTAAAACCACTGGAAGTATCATTCCAAGAAGAAACTAAAGAAGTAAGATTACCTCCTATTATGTTACAAGAAAAACAAAATAAAAGTAATGGAATAAAGAAAAAATCTAAAAGAAGTATAAATGGGAATGAGGTTGAAGAAAAAAAAGCAACACGTAGAAAGAAAAATGTTAAAGCAAGATTAATATGTGAAAGTGATGAAGATAAAATTGCAGATCTTGATAGTAAAAGTATTGTTAATTCAAGATATTGTTTAGGAAGAGCAAAAATTAAAAATGGTGATGACCATTTCATTTATTTAAATAAATTCACAGAAAATAGATCTATTTCTCATATACATGGATATATTAACTATAATAAAGATGCTGGATTATTTGTTTTTATGAATGCTGGAAGAAATGGAAGTATTGTTAATGGAAAAACATTATTTAATAATGATCAAGAAGTTTTGACGAATAATTCTATTATTGAGATGGGTGGATTTAAAGTTAGAATTATTTATTTAACTTATTGAGTTTAACAAAAAAATTTAATTGATTTTATGTATTATAAAAGAATATTGATGAAGTATATGGTTAGTAGTTATGACGAATTTATGAGTAATAATTTAATTTTTACTAAAAATATTTATAATTTTTTTATATAACTTTTAAAACTTCATATAATCCGATAAACTATTTTTCTTTTTTGATATCAAAATTAGCTTCTAATAATTATAAAATAAGATTTTTGTTTCCTTAACTTAATAATCATAAAATGGAATTATCGTGTATGAAAAGGCCTACCCCTACTAAAAGTGCATTTATAGCTAAACGTATTGAAACAGAAGGAAATGGAGTTTATTCAGTGTTTTGTGGTAATGTTGATAGAAAACAAACATTATTAACAAGTAAAAGAGCATCAACCAATAGAGATGCTGCCCAACAGTCATTCCTTATTGGGTTATTAGTTAACAATGGATTTTTTATTAAGTTAAAAAAATTATATAAAAGAGGAAAAACAACAAAACAACTCTTTGTTATTGAATCAATTTGGAAAGAGGGAATAAACTGTTTTGATATTGATTTAATTGGAAATATTCCTGGTGATAAAAAGGTAAAAAGAAGAAATATTGATGCCACTACTAATCATATTATGTTAAAAATTGCAGGAGATTATTGTTCATTGTCTTATGATGTTAAAAAAGGTAAAACAAGCTCAAAATCATATCAAATGGAAAGAATTAATTCTGCTACTACTCAAGGAAAAGTATTTGATTCAAAAATGATTCAAATCATTGGAACAGAAATTAATCAAAATTTAACATCATGGATTACTTCTTCGGGACTGGAGATTCATCCCAATGACTTTAGAATTTGTAAGTATTATAATATATAATTTATTAAACTTTTTATTTCTCTTAGCTTCCTCTCTTCGTTTTGCTTTGAAGTTTTTTCGTAGCAAAATAATCTTTTTGACGTCAACATAAGTTTCTATCCAAAAAAACCGAAAAATCTATTTTTATAAAAAAGTAAAAAGAAGAAAAAACAAAAAAAGAAAAACAAAAATTAATATTTTCAGAAAAAAAAAGAAAAACAAAAAAAAGAACTTAATTATTAAAATCACAAAATATAAAAGAATGAGCATACTAGGATTTACTAAAGATTGGACCACAGAATTCTTTGACCAAAGAAGTAACTTCTTAGGTGGAAGTATTGTTGAAAATTCTGTTCAAACAGTTACAATTTCTGAACCTCTTACATGGGCACAAACTGCTGATGAAATTAAAAATAAAAGTAAAAACATTGTTTATAAAAGTTTGATATTTGACTTATTAAATGAAATATTTTAAAGTAGTAGTTTAAATACTTATTATTATAGTTGATGATTTATCAAGATTACAGAAGAAGTATTTATCTATTGATTTGGATGACTATGAGAGTATTGGTAAAGAAGTTGATATGAAGACAAATGAAATCAAATTGGTTTGTTAATGAAAAATATATTTGTCATTTAAAAAAGAAAGGAATACAAAAATAATAATAATATAGAATTTAAAACAGTTACAAAATGAAGTAACTAAATTTAATAGATTTAAAGAAGAAGACAATCCAACATTAATTCAAAATGTTCAAACAAATTTAGCAGAAGAAGTTAATAAAGTTGCTGAACAATTTAAAAGTCAAAATAAAAGTTATTTACTCAAATTAAAACAAAGAACAAAAAAATTTGATGATTGTTTTACTACTGAAGGAGAAGAAGGTGTGTATTCATTTGGATTTGATGAAAAACAATTAAATATGTTAAGTGAATCAGAAGAAATGGTAGATCAACGAGTTGCAGAAATAAAAAAAATAGCTAAAACTGTTCAAGAATTAGCAGAAATGACACAACAATTAAATATGTTAATTCATGAACAAGGAACAATTATTGATCGTATTGATTATAATATTGAACACACAGAACATCAAGTATCAAAAGCTGTTGAAGAAATTAAACAAGCAGAAACATATCAAAAAGCTACTCGAGTCAAAATCATTGTACTGATTTTATTAATGTTAATTTTAGGAGCAATTATTGTTCTTGTTCTTAAAGTTGCTCTTTAATGAAATAATTCAATTATTTGTTCTAAAAGTTATTTTGATTGTTCTTCTTCTTTTTTATTATTAACACCTTCTTTATAAATTTCAATAGCATTAGAAATAAGAAATTCTACGATATCATACATTCTTTTATCTAATGCATCATGACTATCCCAAGCTAAACAAGGTGTCATTTTTTCAGCTATAGACCTTGGTGTTTTTATTACTTGATTATTTGCAATAAAATGAAATGTTGTAAATAATAATTTTTGAACTGCAATGTTTTCTTCTGTTTTTGTATGAATTAATAATGATAAATCATTTTTAGATAAAATACCATCAATGCTAATACTCCCAAGATATTCTTTTGATGGATGAAGAAGTGGAAATGGTAATGAACGAAGATATAATTTAAGTACTTCGGTAGCTAATGTATAATTCCATTTTTGTACTTTAAATCCTTTATTAATAAGGTTTAAAGTCATTAATATTTCATTTTGAGAAACTGTTTGAGTAAAACATTCATTAGTGTTTCTCATTACTTTACATATTTCATCTAATACTACTGGATATAATTTATTTGTTCTTTGATGATAATCAATTAATGGTACTCCAAATACTTGTAATTTAATATTTGTATCAATAACTTTATTTAATAATTGGTTCCAAGTTCTACACTCCTCTTTATTTTTAAATACAATTTTAAATGTTCTTCTACAAGTGGGTTTAGTTTCAACGATTTTAAGTAATTTATAATCGTCTATTGTTTTTGAGGGAATTATTTTTAAATTAACAATTTTTAATACTATAATGTCTTTAAAATCAAATTC